CACTTTTATTTCCACCACGAAATACCCGACACCATCAGACTACTCATCTAACAACCAAAGTGACATTGTTTCGTTGAATATAGCAATTAGTCTTATTATTAAAGTAAAACGAGTGAAGTCGAGTGCAAACTTTAGTCTCCACTACTAATAAAGTAGATTGACACAAATTAATTGGATTTTTCGATGTCTGTTTGTTTGTAAGCGTACTAATTGGGTAGAAAGGTTTCCATGCAAATAGTGTTTGTAATGTACTACAAATGAAACAATCACTTTGTTTAAAGGTGGAGCCGCCATTTTGTTTTTTATTTGATTAATTTTACTTACGGATTTTAATGGATACATTTCCGTGAGTGCGCGCGGCAATTGCACGACTTCATTCTCCTTAATCCTTTCCATCATCGTACCATTACCAACAATTACCGTACCAACAACCGTACCGTATAACCGTGATACCACGGCCTCACAGAAAACCGACGTGAAGCAACGCTTGCGTTGTGTTTCGTCGTGTGAGTGAGGTTACCGGAGGCCCAATTACCTTCCCCTTCCCCAATCTCCCCGATCCCTGAATCCCCAACGATCCTCAAACTCCTAATCCCCAAAAAGCCGGTGACGCACTTGTAACGCCTCTGGTGTTCCAGGTGTCCATGGGCGACGCCGATTGCTTACCATCAGGTGATCCGTCTGCTCGTTTACCGGCTTATACCATAAAAAAACCATAAGACAGGTAACGGCAAAGCGTTACCGATTCATGGTAGATGTCCCACCCACACGCACGAAGCGCTTCGCATCAAGCTTCCTTGTGCGTACTGCTAAGGAGTGGAATTCTTTGCCAGAGTCTGGGTCTCTTCAAGTCCCGAGTGAATAGACTGCATATAGGCAGGCGTGCTCCATCGTAGGCTGCATCATTGCTCACTACCAGGCGACATAGTGGCCAAACATAAAAAAAGCGTTCATGACGCAGAGCAAATTTGTCACTGCCCAACTCATCCCTCGGTTATCGAAATATTAGACTACATCTTACATTTGCCCGGGTCGGGCAAAATATTACTGGGTTTTTAAAAATCTCAGTAGTAGCACGGAGTCTGGAAATGTGTCTGGTATATAGCAATAGGCTCACCCTCTATTACATGGGACTCATAACATAAATAGTGAAAAGGGGGTGTTACATTGTACAGTGGCATTTAGTGCCGTAATGTGCACCTCTGCCTACCCCTTCGGGGATAAATGGCGTGATGTTATCTACATCTGATACCGGATAGCAACACTCTCTGATAAACTAGAACCTTTTAAACGATATGATCTCTTATAATTATAAACGAGAACTATGTAATTAATGAATTGTATTGTGAACATCGAAAAATACCTATGGAGTTTCTTGCTCGTTCTTCTCCATAGGAATCTATAACTTGGAATGAGCAAATAGCTTCACTTTTAAATTTTTGTTGACGTTCTTAAAGTGTCTTTGTGGTCAAATTGAAATAAGTAAATTTTTATATAGTGTTTTTTTATATTTATTGTTTTTAATGTTGTTTTCAATAAAATTGTTCTCTTACTATTGTAAATGGTGCAGCATATAAATTATTTTTCTCTCTTTTGATTTGATTTTCAACCTTTCAAATTGTTATCTCCAACCCACTTGCCAAGTGGGGAGACTACGTCAAAACCTAAAATATTATTCTCTTGTTCACAGATTCGACCAAAAAACTTCAAGATGTGCTCAAAGAGTTTTGTGAAGTCAAGAAGCAGAGCCCAGATGGGGTAAGTCCATTAATGGTATCGCCTAACTATTGTACTAGGAGTCAAAGCGCATGACCGTTTTCAAGAATTCCTTTTTTTTCTTATTATCACCAAAATTTCATGATGTCATAGTCACATGAAGGTCGTGATCTTGAATATTCACTTGTAATGAGATTTGCTTGTGAATACTACTACAGAAAGATAACGAGAGCGAAAAATAGTCCTATCAATCATGTACGTACTAAACGGATGCCTTCTTGAGCACAAACTTGGAACATTAAGTGGGGAAGAGCCATGCTTCGGCACGAATGGGCTGGCTCAGGGTGCTTACTCTTGAAACCAATCTCAATTTCAATCCAATAAAATCTCAATAATTATTCAATGTCACCACTATACAACCCCCAGCGTAGCTGTTAAAATATTGCATGCATTCAGAGTACGGAATATAAAGACAAACTCAATACCATTTAGTTCATTCAGTATCCACGCAATACGGATGCAATGGGCGCTAGTGTTGCAACTCAAGAGTACGAAATTTTACAATGCCAATGTCGATCAATCGGAATTGGATTCAAGAGTAAGCCCCCAGGACCAGAGTGATACAACCGCCTCACAGAAAACCGACGACGTGACAACGCTTGCATTGTGTTTCGTCGTGTGAGTGAGGTTACCGGAGGCCCAATTACCCCCTTACCCAGTCTCCCCAATCCCCAAATCCCCCACAATCCTCAAACTACTAATTCCCAAATGGCCGGTAACGCACTTGTAACGCCTCTGGTGTTTCGGGTATCCATGGGCGACGTCGATTGCTTACCATCAGGTGATGTGTCTGCTCTTTTACCAGCTTATCCTATAAAAACACATGTGATTACATCACGTGACCACATCCTCAATCCCCAATTCCAAAAATTAAAAAAAAATCCCAAATCCTCGATCCTCAAATTCCCAATCACTAAATCGCAAAAGGTAAGCGACGCACTTGTAACTTTTATGGTGTTGCTAGTGTCCATAGTCGGTAGGACGGCAAATGCTTACCATCAGGTGATTCGTCTGCTCTTTTGCCGCCCAATACCGCAAAAAATAAGACCTATTTTAAAACCTAAACAGAGCCAGTACAAGCTAACACTAGAAATGAACAGTTCTAGCTAAACACAGTTACGACACGTGAGTATATCGCGTTAAAGTTCACAAACTAATATTAGTTTCCCACTAGCTGACCTGGAACACTGGCAGGTGTCTAACTAAACTTGCTATAATTATGTGAATTTGATAGCTCTTTGTAGGATCTAGGGGTTTTAGTTAAACTAATTTTAAAGAAAAATAAACTATGTATATTAATAAAAATAACAGTCTTTTATAATATCATTGAATAGAGCAACGTATTCGCTCATCAACTGTCCGCCATCTTCTATCAATCTCAATCATACTCATTCATTCCGTCCGTTCGGATTCATGCACACAACATCTTACATTACTTCACCAAGTATTCGGATACACACATACAATCCCACATGGTTAGATAATGGATTTAGATAATAATTTAGATAATTATGTTATTATATTGGACGCCAACCACCGCTTTTCATGCGCGAGGGTACAGATTGAATCTGGCAAGTACCAATGTGACTTTTTCCGAGTTATATGTTTAAGATTATTTAGACGCCACTGACGAACGGTGAAGGAAAACATCGTGAGGAAACCTGGAAAAGCCTGGCAAGCGTGGTGATTAATGCCCATTCTTCCTCCGTGTGAGAAGAGACCTTTGCTCAGCAATGATTATAAGCTGTTGATGATAATTTGTTATTAGTTATTACTCTACCAGCCTACATACATGCCTTTTTTATTTGGGTAGACATATTACCACTATCTCGCCTGGTGGTAAGCGATAATGCAGTCTACGATGGAGCACATCTACCCATACGCAACCTTCGGGCACCATTCGGGCATTAAAGTCAGCCAGGTTAACTGTCCACGTTTCGTTATTCGATTAATGCAAGCATCCTTCACAAACGGGCGTCTGCAAATGAAGAAATTAAATGCTTTTTTTAAGGGGCAAAATCATCGAATGACTGCTCCCCGCCTGGGTACGGCGGGATTGAGTGTCAGACTCTTACTGACTAAAAACCACCCCGTTCAGGCCTACTCCTGCACTACAAGAGCCCCGGTAATCTTTTACGTTCTCCACGGCTCCATATCGGCATCAGCCCTATTGGGTCCGCGGTGGTCTGACGGCTCTTTGAGGCGGGAACGGAACGCTTCGTACGCTGGTTCTGGTCGCATCGTGCTTAGAAACAATAAAAATTGTCCAAGAAGCAGCAACAATTACCCTCCCCTCCCCATACTCCCCAATCCCTGTATCCCCAATGATCCTCAAACTCCTAATCTCCAAATGGCCGGTAACGTACTTGTAACGCCACTGGTGTTCCAGGTGTCCACGGGCGACGCCGATTGCTTACCATCAGGTTATCCGTCTGCTTGTTTACCGGCTTATGCCATAAAAAAAAACAATAAATCCACCTATCGTTTGTGACGAATGCATGTATTCGTCAAAGGACGCAACGTGGACGTAGACCTTAGTCGATCATTAGTTGACTAATACGACACCCGCGAAGAGCAGGGTTGGTAATAAATGTTCTCTACCCTGCCATCTCCATAGACCTCAAAATCATATTTGGACTGAGACTGCATGGTTGGTCCGGTGGCTGGGTAACTGCGCAACGTGTTGCATGACTCAGCAACTCTTTGTGTGATCCACATATTGTTGTTCCGGGTCTGGGTGTCATGTGTATACAGATGGGGCCTAACAGGGCTGACGCCGATACGGAGCCGCGGAAGACTTAACGGGTTGCCGGGGCTCCGGCTCGAAGTGCAGGAGTAGGAACGGGGTGGTTTTTAGTCAGTAAGAGTCTGACACTCCCTCCCGCCTCACCCGGGTGTCATGTGTATGTGAACTTGTATGTTTGTAAACGCACCCACGACACAACAGGAGAAAATCCTAGTGTGGTGGGTGAAACGTGTTTTTTTTTAACACACACATAACATCACGCCTTTTATCCCCGAAGGGTTACGCAGAGGTGCACATTATGCCACTGTACAATGTAACACCCACTTTTCACTATTTATGTTATGAGTCCCATGTACCATGTACACCCAGGTGGTGATCCTATTGCCAGATACCGGGCACAATTCCAGACTCCATATTACTACTGAGATTTTTTTAAAAACCCAGTAATACAAAGGTATTACTGGGTTTTTAAAAAAATCTCAGATTCCAGGGTCGGGCAAAGGCCCGACCCTGGAATCGAACCCGAGACCCCTTGCAGTCGCACTTGCGACCACTCGGCCATCGAGGCAGTCAATTTTTTTTTTATACAATGGAAAATCCGTATTCATATAAGTAAAACATCAATATAAGTTTTAACAAGCTACTTGATGCCATATCGATATAATGAGCTGACAACATTAATATCGATAAATGACACCACACTCTACTATTATTGAAAATGCCACTCAAACAGATTTTATTGTTATAGAGCTGTTCGTTTGTCGATTATAGTGATGTTCGTATCGATAACATTTTTATCAAGTTTATTTAATAATACTGCCTGCCTCGTTGGCCGAGTGGCCACAAGTACGACTGCTGGGCAAGGGTCTCGGGTTCGATTCCCGGGTCGGGCAAAGTAATACTTGGAGACCGCAGTTTAAAAGGTTCAGGTTTATCAGAGAGCGCTGCTGCCTGGTCTTTGTCAAATGTGTAGTCCCTTAACCGGCTCTTGCGACATCCGCGGAAATAGTAGGGATGGTTATAAAATGTATTCTATCTACTCTGCCGTAGCACATGGTAAAATGATGACCGTAGTAAAACTTTCATCGACCCAGTAATCAAACCTATGATCGTTTTACAACCACACCTGCGAGCACTTGTATTAATAAAGAAAGTCATCAATTCCCTTTTATATACCGGAATCCCATCAAAAATGTACATAAACATATTTTTATGATTTTCCATACATTACGTGCCTTCCCTACAAACCGTGTAAGCGAGACAACGCACATGACGTCATATCTCCCATCTCCCTCACTCCACATGACGTCACTGTAACTTGACAATCGATGATAACCTTCCACACGCACAAGAGATTACAAACCATGCTCCCATTGACATACGAATCAAAATCCAATATCCAGTATTCAGTAACACAACAATGACGTCACGGAAAAGGGGTGTGAAGAGGCAAAATAAATATTTATTAACGATTTATTGTGAGCCCTATAGCTTTGTGATAAGGGTGAGTTTTGTGTGGGGTCTAAAAATAGATTTTATGGCCTAGTAAAAGTTTGCCGAGGATGTGCAGGCTTATTTGCTACGGTTTGAGTGTTTTCTCTTGTAAAAACTTAGGTGGGGGTGTGGGGGCAAAATGGGGTCATAATCTTCCGGGGTCTAAGTTGTAGAGACATTTGTGTGGGTAACGCAAAGACACGGTCAATTAGTCAAATCTGTCTTAAACATACGCAGGACTTGGTTTAGACGGTCTTAGAAGTCGTGTACGAAAATATCGTCTAGTCGAATGGTGATGGCAGGGTAGAATACTTTTGTCACCACCCTGGCACTTCGTGCGGGTACTGGGTGCTTACTCTTGTAACCAATCTCAATGTCAATGCAATTTCAATCCAATAAAATCTCAATAATTATTCAATGTCAACATTATACAACCACAATCGTTGCTGTTAAAATAGTATTCAGAGTACGGAATATAAAGCCAAACTCAATACCATTTAGTTCATTCAATATCCACGCAATACGGATGCAATGAGCGCTAGTGTTGCGACTCAAGAGTACGAAATTTCACAATACCAATGTCGATCGATCGGAATTGGATTCAAGAGTAAGCCACCTGATCGAGATCAAAAGCGACTTTAGTAGAATTAGTTCGGTTCATAGATAAACCCATGGTGTATAGTAATGTGGATATACGGTCATTCAAGCCGTTAACTGAAGTTGCTGGACATGTTTAAATTTT